ATAACGTTACATTTTAACAAACAAAACGGTTTGCAAGCTAGGCTATATAGCTTTTTCCTTACTTCCTAACTAGTTGTCTAGGTAACTGCTGCTTACCTGGTAGACCCACGGCAAAGGAAATGTTCCTCCAGGCATTATTCTTCAAATTTACATTGTGGTAGTCCGGGGAAGTCATCTGGTAGAGACATGGATGCTCAGAAACCAGCAATATTAATTTCTCCTCCATTTTTCCCGTTGTTGTGCTTGTTGACACGTCGTTGTAACAAAATGACAGTTGTGACAGTTGATCGGTGTGGAATTTGCCCCGCCCCTCCTGCACTCTGATTGGTTAGCTGACTAGAAAGTGACAGTGATGAGCGCAGCGTTTTATCCAAAGTTGAACATTCTTCAACTCTCGGCGCGAGAAAAAAACGCCCGAACGCTCAGCGCTCAGCGCGAAAAAGACGCTCAGCGCTCGGCACGCTCCTGGCGTTTTAAAAAACGCGGCGCTCCCATTGAGAACAACTGAACAAACACGCTAGCCGCGGGGAAAAACGCTTTGGTGGACACAGGGCCTTAGCAAAAAAAAAGACATACAGCACCATTAAATCTGACTGCTTAGAAAAGTAAAAGCACACCTCTCCTCAACAAGCCAACAAGCAATTCAAGGCTGCATTCACGTCTGTAGCATGAATGATTGATACTTCATTTAAAAACCTCACCCTGAGCATGAGCAACAGTAATTAATAGTGGCGTTTGCAATTAAGTGCAGCAACTGTGGTACTTTGGCTAAACCTATGGTAAATTTTGAAAGGACAGGCTCTAGATTGTAGACTGACATTTAGTGAATGCTGAGAAATATTCAGTTCAAGGGGATTTATGGAAGATTTATTCGTTTCATTGGATGAAACTCTCTGAAAAGTCTGAATAAGCTCCCAAGGGCGGTGGCAGATTAGCGCACAATAGACAACAGACAATGAGTGCACACTTTCTGGGTTGAAGAACTGCTCACCTTGTACTGAGTCGGCCCCGGGCGGCTCATTTCCTCTTTGCTGGGGAGGAAAAGCCGGCGTGGTGCAATAGAGCCGAAGGCACCCTTCCTTGTGCTCTCCAGACAGGCTTTCTTCCAACTCTCATAAGCCAGGCCATACTCAAACACATTATAGGCACCGGGACCTAGAAAAGACATGCACGAGTAAGATGATTAGTTACTACTGGAGTTGTGCTAACTAGTGCTGTTTGATATTGATGGTTGTTCAGAAGTTTGAGGTTGGTAAGTTGTTTTTAATGTTTTTTAAGGAAGTCTAAATTGCTCACCAAGGCTGCATTTATCTGATAAAAAAATACAGTAAAAACGGTAATATTGTGAAAATATTTTTACTATTTAAAACAATCAGTGTTGAAAACAGTTGTGCTGCATAATATATTTTTGGAAACTTTGGAAAATTTATTTTTTTAGGATACTTTGATGAATATAATTTCATAAGAACAGGATTTATTTGAAATATAAACATTTTGTTACATTATAAATGTCTTTACTGTCATTTTTGATCAATTTAATGTGCCTTTGCTAAATATAAAACACTTTTATGGGTTAAATCAGGTAAAAATAGATTTTTAAAGTAACAATTGCAGGTTACTTTTTACAGTGTAGTTCATTGCACTTTGACCACTTTGAATGTAATAAAAGACAATTAAATTCAAACTCCGAAAACATCAAATTAAGTAGAAAGCAGTTCAATGGAAGGGCACAAAAATGTTTTCATAAAATAACATCTTGAGACCACCTTGTACACTAGTACACCAAGCACTTTTGGCATACTATTTTCAGTGTACTATGATCTGTGATGCACTAATTGTAACTTTGCATACTAGACAGAATGCAATTTAGAATGCATCTTGAGTGTCTTGATTGGTCGCTTTGAAAATGGCTTGAAATCCGATTGGCTGCTGTTGCAAAGCATTCGTGTAACAGTATAAAATCTAGTGCCAACTTTGCTAACCTCATGTTTGTCCCTCTGGCAAGCACAGTCCAAATCTGACCTCTGACTGCATTTCACAGATAAAAGACATTTTGCATTCAGAAAGCAGAACAAATTCACAAACACACAGGTACAAACCTGGCGTAGCTTTCGATCTGTTTTCTGGCAGGAAGCGTACAGCTGTCAGGCCGAAAGCATTCTTCTTCACCCCTCTGCCTTTCTTCAGGATCTCCAGAGCACAGCGCGGGTCATCATACGCACCTACAGGGGGCGTCTCATCCTTGACTGGACTGAACCGCTATGAGAAACAACACAGTACTGAGATCAGATGAAAGTGACATGAAGAGGCATTCACATTCACAACACATTTTTACTTCTGTCATTATATTTTACTAAAAGATTATGAAATACAGTTGTGATGTACTGATGAGTTGTGCACAATAAGATCAGAAATGTATATTAAACAAGTAATAAGGTCTAATTTGATTTCATGTTACTTCAGGAGAGTTTATTCCAGAGCAGTTGTTATTAGCAGGTATGAATGTCCAGAAATAAAGGAGTGTGTTGTTGCCTGAGCTTGAGACAGGAAGGGTGGACTCAACCCAAGAGCGTGTGGGTTACTGGGCGTCTCAAACTGACTCTTTATGTAGTATTGCCCTGGTCCTGGAACACCCTAAAAATACACATACACATACATATATGAAAAATGCACACATGATGAAAACAAAAGTTATTTGTACCCATACAGAAAAGCATCCATGCTGAAATGCATCTAACCTTGAGCTCAAGTCTTGTTGCAATAGTGCCCTCTACAGACAAGACAGAATTCTTTGAAATGGAAGAGTTTAATGAACCTTTGAAAAGTTTGCATATGTGTTTTTTGAGTATCATATTTTATACATCAGGCTTTTATGGCTCATATAGAATATAGTGAGAATATGGAGGAAAAAACAACTCAACTGTATTCAGATTTCAGAGGTTCAAACTGAGCAAAATTATGCAATTTGGTGCAGTCGCTAATATTTATATGGCCAAAAAGTAAGATGAAATTCTAATAATAAGTTTGTAATATAAATCAATGAGATCTTTATAACAGTATAGCAGACTACTTACATAAAATGCATATAAATATCAGTTGTCACACTAGGTGTATTCACACCAGGAAAGTCATCTAGTTTCATTTGCTTTGGTCCGGACCAAATACAATGTTGATTTTTTTTTTGTTTGGTGCGGTTCGCTTTCACACTGCCCTTTTTTACAAGTGAACTAGAAATTGTAAACAAAACCACACATGTGCTAAGGTCATCCATTCATTGGACAGAAATTCTCAAGCAGGGAAAAACAGGAAGTGCAAAAACAGGCTAATCATGGAGATCTTTTGTAGTGCAATTTTTATTCTTTTACTGATTTGGTGTTATCAGATACTAACGCAATATGAAGAAACTTATGAGCATCATATGAGACAAT